AGGCACGGCCTCTGGGAGGGAAGAATACTGAAGCCTTCCAGGTTCTTCTGTGCAGTCGCCGTGGCTCATGGTTCAAATTTAGTAAATGGATATTTACAGATCATAGAATCTGCAAAACGTGACAGTTTCAAGCGAGCTGTCCTGTTGCTGCCTGATATTTCAGCAAGATTTTTCTCAAGAAAAATGCGATCCTGGTAACAGATGCTTTATATGCCTCACTAATTTTTAAAAAAAATTATTTATTTATGTGAAAGAGTACAGTGAGAGAAGGAGAGACACACACAGAGAGAAGAGATCTTCCATCCACTGGTTTGCTGCCCAGGTGGCTGCAATGGCCAGCACTAGGCCAGGCAGAAGGCCAGAACTTTATTCTGTTCTCACACATGGGTGGCAGGAGCCCAAGAACTTGGGCCATCCTCTGCTACTTTCCCAAGCCATTAGCAGGGAACTGGAGCAGAAGTGGAGCTGCCAGGACACAAACCGGCACCCATATTGGATGCCGGCATTGCAGGGGGCAGTTCTACCTGCTATGCCACAAGGCCAGCCCCCCTTATTTGCTATTTTTTTTTTTGACAGGCAGAGTGGATAGTGAGAGAGAGACAGAGAGAAAGGTCTTCCTTTGCCGTTGGGTCACCCTCCAATGGCCGCCACAGCTGGCGCGCTGCAGCCGGCGCACCGCGCTGATCCAAAGGCAGGAGCCAGGTGCTTCTCCTGGTTTCCCATGGGGTGCAGGGCCCAAGCACTTGGGCCATCCTCCACTGCCTTCCCGGGCCACAGCAGAGAGCTGGCCTGGAAGAGGGGCAACCGGCAAAGAATCCGGCGCCCCGACCGGGACTAGAACCCGGGGTGCCGGCGCCGCTAGGTGGAGGATTAGCCTATTGAGCCGCGGCGCCGGCCTGCTATTATTTTAATTTAAGGTCTGTTGGTGCACAGGAGAGTGAGAGGGTGTGCCTAAGCTATGGTGCTACTGGAAAGCCCTCTGCGCTCACAGGGACCAGACAGATGGAGAGAAGAACTAGCAGAACAAGGGCAACAACGTAGCTTGGAGCCTATGACCACGCCTTAACGCAGATGCACAGAGCAGTTCTCTAGTCTTCCAGGACCAGATGGGAGCATGTCACCTGCATCCGTCAGCACATCAGGGTGTTTGTGCAGCACACTTCTGGGCAGCTTGGAGGACCCCGGTGACCTGGGATATCATTGTTCAAGGTCAAAGTGAGGATAGAGAGCATTCAGGGAAAAGGGAGTTGTACAGTGAAAAAAATCAAACATCCTGATTACCACTCTTTCCCAGAAAATGTGTTGAATGGAGGAAGAAATGGTTCATTACACCTTATGCATTTAAACAGTGCTTTGGGAATTACAAAGCACCCAGGGGAAAAGGGGAAGGAGGAGAAAACACTGTATTCAAGGCCACCAGGAACTTGAACTAGACCTTGAGAGAGACGCTCCGTGCTGGCAGCCCCTTGCTGTTACTGTTTGGCTCTGCAGGGAGGGAGAACACTGGGCTTGGCATCACAACGATGGTGCTGTGTTGGCCTCACATTTTCATGCTGGTTTCAAGTGCAGGGAGTGACATGATATTAACAAATGAGTCACGGCAACCAGCTGATGGACACGCCTTGGGCACAGCCTGGTGCTGCCTCAACAGTTCTTTCCAAGCGTGGAGTAGTTTTTGGCACCTGTAAAGCTGGACCATGGAGTCTGGGTTGCTTCTACATGCTGCGCGTTTGGACAGAACACATTGTCTATCACTGTAAGAAGTCTGTTATCACTTTTACACTTCCTGATGTAATTTTAAAAAATGTTTTTTGAAGACCTAGTCTCAGGGCAATCAGAAAGTAACTCTGTGTTCCTAAGTAGCTGGCATGTGTCTTACATACTCTTGTCATTTGTCATTCAAGCACTTGTTCAACACAGATATTAGTTTTCTTTCTTCTTTTTATTTTTTTTTAATCTTTTAATTAATGAATATAAATTTCCAAAGTACGACTCATGGGTTACAATGGCTTCCCCTCCCATACCGTCCCTCCCACCAACAACCCTCCCCTTTCCCACTCCCTCTCCCCTTCCATTCACATCAAGATTCATTTTCGATTATCTTAATATACAGAAGATCAGCTTAGTATACCTTAAGTAAGTATTTCAACAGTTTGCTCCCACACAGAAACATAAAGTGAAAAATAATAGATGATTTTTTTAAAATGATGATGAAATCAGATCAGACCTATTGTCATGTTTAATCCCAGTGAGAGTCAAGTTGGGAATTGAAAATTTCTTTCTTTTTTTTTTTTTTTTTACAGAAGATCAGTTTAGTGTACATTAAGTAAAGATTTCAGTCGTTTGCACCCCCATAGAAACACAAAGTGAAATATACTGTTTGAGTACTCGTTATAGCATTAAGCCTCAATGTACAGCATGTTAAGGACCGAGATCCTACATGAGGAGTAAGTGCACAGTGACTCCTGTTGTTGACTTTACCAATTGACACTCCTGTTTATGGCATCAGTAATCCCCCTATGCACCAGTTATGAGTTTCCAAGGCTATGGAAGCCCCTTGAGTTCTCCGACTCTTATCTTGTTTAGACACGGTCATAGTCAAAGTGGAGGTTCTCTCCTCCCTTCAGAGAAAGGCACCTCCCTCTTTGAAGACCTGTTCTTTCCACTGGGATCTCACTCACAGAGATCTTTTTGCCAGAGTGTCTTGGCTTTCCATGCCTGAAATACTCTCATGGGCTTTTCAGCCAGATCCGAGTGCCTTTAGGGCTGATTCTGAGGCCAGAGCAACACAGATATTTGTTTCATGCATAGAAAATGAGGTAGCTCTCATATTGCAATAAAGTAGTACTACTTGGGTTTCCAAGAGAAAGCACTTTTTTGGTTTTGTTTCAAAGATATTTCTTTATTTATTCCTTTGAAAGGCAGACTTAGTGAGAGAGAAGGAAGAGAACGAGAGATCTTCCATTAGCTAGTTTACTCCCCAAATGGCTGCAACAGCCAGGGCTGGGCTAGGAGCCAGGAGCTTCTTCTGGGTCTCCCACGTGGGTGCAGGGGCCCAAGCACTTGGACCATCTTCCATTGCTTTCCCAGGCACATTAGCAGGGGGCTGGATAGGAAGTGGAAGCAGAGGAGTTGGGTTTCAAACCAATGCCAATATGGGATGCCAGCACTGCAGGCCGCGACTTAATCCACTAAGCCACAATGTTGGTCCCTTCTTTTTTTATTATTATTAAAATTTACTTATTTGAAAAGCAGTGTGCCAGAGAGTGAGCAAGCAAGTGAGGGAGCAAGTGAGTTGGAGCCAGGATCCTAGAATGTCATCTGGGTCTCCCACGTGGTTGGTAGGGACCCAACTACCTGGGCTGTCATCCACTGCTTTCTCAGGCACCTTAGCAGGAAGCTGGATCAGAAGCAGAACATCCAAGACTCAAACCAGAACTCCAGTATAAGATGCCATTGAAAGCAGTGGCTTATCGCACTGTGCCACAATGCCAGCCCCAAGAAATATTCTTCCTGGAAAAGCAACAGCAAAAAGAGGGGGAATTCATGAGGTTTGACATTTGAATTGCAAGCACTGCTTTTACCAAGCAGGGAGACGACTCTGTAAAGACCGTGGTCATGAGACCATGACCGTGAGCACTTGTGCACCCGTGCAGCTCCTTCTCCTCTTCCTTGTGGGATGGATTGTCCTCGCTCATTCAGTGCTGGGGAGCCAGGGTGCTGAATAAATTATTCTTGTGGGTGATTAAATCTGAGAGCTCCTGCAGACCCAGAGCAAAAACTGAGCGTGACATTTTTAGCTTCGCTCAGTGAAATCAGATCATCTCAGTGTTGTGGGGGCAAGCACAGAAAGGGAGGCACATGAAGAAGATGGAATTCAAATGACTTCACTTGTGGAGAGCCGTGCTGAGATGTCATCTCTTTCTGGGTGTAAGAAACTGCCCATAGGAGAGAAAAGCAACATCCAAGTGCCAAATGCCACGTTCCTATGCACCTTCCTGCCCATAATGACAACAGTAATTCGGTGATGTGTTGGCACCTTGGCTCCACCGTCCAGGGGAGGTGGTGGACATGCCCTGCAGTGGGAGGTGCTGGTGGGAAAGAGGAGGCATTGGGGGCAGGGGCTGGCTCTTCCAGCATTCCCTGGGGTCAGTGGTAAGCTGTTCTGGGTGGCATTGGTGTTTGGATGGTAGCTAGAGAGGGAACCAGGGAAGTTTGTGCATGTGGAAGGGGATGAGAGGAATGGTTGGGATGAGAAAGAGAAGGCTTGGAGACCGGGCTTGGCGGTTGCCAGTTCTCCAGGTTAGTGAGCCCCTTGCAAAATCAGTCCTGGAAACTCCGCCCACGACCCAACCTCCTAGGGATTTGTCTCCGCATCCTCCTTGGGCTCTGGTCCTGGAGTTCTAGGGAGGAAGAATGGGGATCTTGGATTCCCAGTGCGGGGGGGAGGAGGGACGGGGGGTGTCTTCTGCCTCCTTCCTTTATCCAAAGCGAAGACTCAGTCTGTCTTCCAAGTCCCCGAGGAAAGGGTGACCGTTCCTCAAAGCTACAGGGAAAGGAGCCCGCATTCAGAGAAAGCATTCCTCCCAAATTCTCCTTCCATTTTCTCTTTAGACAAAGGAGGGGCTCTGGGAATAAGGCACAGGCACCAGAAATCTGCTTTTTTGAGGTCTGGAGTCAGGACCCTGTGTTTCTGGGTGCTGAGAGTCAGAGTCTCTCGGCTTCTTAAAATACTGGGCATCTGCTTACTACTTGACAGCGCGCGGAGCCCTTGGGCGGAGTAGAAGTCTCGTCATTTTCAACCAGCTGGAAGGACGGATGGCGCACTGGTCCAATATTCGCTTTTTCACTATGACTTAAATTGTCAGTTTTCTCCATTTGCTGCATATGGAGGAACTTGTTCTTTTCATACTTGTCTTCAACTGAAACATTATATATCGCCGTGACACTGATCACAATTTTGCAACTTCCAACTAATTTCTATATAAAAATTGTCTCAGGAGCCGAAGAGTCGGATCCTCGATATGTCTGCACTGTGGCTGCTCCTTGGTCTCCTTGCACTGACTGGTGAGTGTTTTCACTGTTTTTATTCCTTAATGTTTGTTTTATTTATTTTTATTCATTTGAAAGGCAGAGAGAGAGAGAGAGAGAGAGAGAGAAATCTCCCATCTACTGGTTCACTCCCCAGAGACCCACAATAGCTTGGGTAGGGCCAGGTTGAAGCCAGGAACCAGGAACCCAATCTGAGTCTTCCTATGGGTGACAGGCACCTCACTGCTTGAGCTATCATCTGCACGGTAGCAGGCAGCTGGAGTCGGAAGCAGAGATGGATGGGGACTAGGCACTCCAACATGGGGATGCACCTGCTGCACCACGGTGCCTGCCCCCATTCCATGTTTTCTGATTGGTTTTAGAATTGGAAAGGATAGTCACAGGAACAGAATGGTATTTCTGACACTTGCCACTCAGTGGAAAACATTTTTCTCCTAAGTTGTCCAATAAATCCTGAAGTTAGGAGCAGCTGTTGAGAGGCAGGCCCTCCCCCAGTGCCTGACACAAGGATGGGGTTCTCCAGAATTTGGGGTGGGCTTAAAATCAGAGTGGCCTGAGGCCAGATTTCAAATAGATGAGCACATTGCTAATAACCTTTCTGTGCCCACTGCAAAAACTTTCACCCAAGTATCTACTGAATGTGTTTATGGACTGTGTATTTCCACTAGGATGTAAGACCAGAGAAGCAGTGTCCCAGAAACCAAGATGTGAGTGGGCTGACCACTGAGGCTGAGTGGCCACTGTGACTGAATGTCAGCTTTGGTCCTAAGGTTCCTTTCAGCTGAGACAAAGGGGAAACTATTTGTCTTTTGATAAATAAAATGAAGAAGCATAGTTCCTTGGGAGAAGCAAAACTTTCCCTGGCTGTCAATTAAAAACATTTCTCAGGGGGGGTCTTGGTTCTTGAAACTTTGATTTATTTGACAGAGAGGTAGACAGAGAGGGGGCATCTCCCAAACATGGGTTCCCCCCTTAACCACCTGCAGTAGGCAGGTGTGGGCCAGGCTGAAGCCAGGAGCCGGGAACTCCTGATCTTCCACCTGGGTGGTGGGGACCAAAGTATTTGAGCCATCGCCTGCTGTCTCCCAGCACGTGCATCAGCAGGAGACTAAAATCAGAAGCAAAACCGAGGCTTGAACCCAGGCACCCCCATATGGGGTGTGCGTGTCCCAGTGCTGTCTTAACCGCTGAGCCCGACGCCCGCCTCTTGGGTGGCATTGTATATTTATTATCTCTTGGCCCATTCATTCAACAAACACTTAACATTCCTACAATGTGCTAGCCATGGGGACTCTAAGAAACTCTGCAGATCATGTGATGTGGTTAGAGAAGGGCCCACAAGGCAGGCAGCAGTCACCAATCATAAAGACAAAAGTACACTTATTAAAAAAAAAGTCAAAAGGACCTGTAGCTTAATTTTTACCATACTCGTAAACAACCAGACCTTGTCACTTCCATATTTCTCAGGTCACTCACCACAGCTTCTAAATTCTGTAGAGATGCTTTCTCCAGAACACTTTTTTTTTTTTTTTAAGACATTAACCTCATGAAGATGTTGGTAAGAAAATAGAACCATAGTGCGGCATTGTGGTGTAGCGGGTAAAGCCGCCGCCTGTGGCACCAGCATCCCATATGGGTGCCAGTCCGAGACCCACCTGCTCTACTTCTGATCCAGCTCCCTGCTAATGTGCCTGGGAAAGCAGCAGAAGATGGCCCAAGTTCTTAGGTCCCTGCACACATGTGGGAGACCCAGAAGAAGCTCCTGGCTCCTGGGTTTGGCCTGGCCCAGCCCCGGGCCATTGCGGCCACTTGGAGAGTGAACCAGTAGATGGAAGATCTCTCTCTGTGTAACTCTAACTTTCAAATAAATAAAGAAAGAAAAGAAAAAAGAACCTTAAAATGCAGTTATGTAAGCCTACAGGACTCATGTGATAATATGCAAGGGATATATTTCCAACAACCTGCAAATCCTTAAAACTTAATCTTTATTCTACTTTAGTCACAGAATAAAACAGTGATTGGATGAGAAGTTTCTACAAGCTTGTAATAGTGAAAGGATTCTCATGGGGAGCACCGTCCTGCCCCCTGCAGGTATCTTGTCATTGACTCATCCACCCTCTCCAGGTATGAACTGTAAATACAGTCAGCCCTGGCTGCCTTTGGAAGATTGGTTCCAGGACCTCCCCATATACCAAAATGTGCACATTCCTAAGTCCTACAAGGCACTAACGACTGGCAACATGGCAACATTTGAGGATCATGCACTGGCATAGTATTTGCACGGAACCTATGCACAACCTCCCATATCCCTGTACATTTTTATTGATTTTCATTTATTTGAAAGCAGAGAGAGAGAGAGAGACAGAGACAGATCTTCCAGCTGCTAGTTCACTCTTCAAATGTCCACAACACCCAGGGCAGGGCCAGGCTGATGCCAGGAATCTGGAACTCAATCCAGGTCTCCTGTGTGGCTGGCAGGGACCCAAGAACTTGACCAATCATCTGCTGCTCCCAGTGTCTGCCTTAGCAGAAATCTAGAGTCAGGAGCTGGAGGAGGGGTTAACCCCAGGCACTCCAGTATGGGATGTAGGCATCTTAACAGCCAGGCTAAATGCCTTCTCCCTGAAGTTTTGTAGTTCCTGATTTTATTATTTGTATTAATATAATTTCATCCCTAGAAGGATGATGAGAACAAGTCAAGTTAACACTTTTGTTGAATTTCTTCAATTTGCAGCCTCAGCTGAAAGCAGCACTTGGGGGTGCTATGGCAACATCCGCACCCTGGACACCCCTGGAGCGTCTTGCGGGGTTGGAAGACGTCACGGCCTGAGCTACTGTGGTAATTACAGTCCTCTGGTCTGTTCTCACCCTCTCAGCATGGCTTCTCGGTGCCTACTGTCTCCCACAGTCCCACAGACCCGAGGGCGGAGAGAACACTGGATGTAGACGCCAAAGACCTCGTCAGAGCCCTGGCTCTGCTTCTTGAACAAGCCACTTAGCTGCCCCAGGCCTGTGGTGGAGCAGATAATAGCAATCAATTTGCAGCACTGTTATATTATATTATATTATATTATATTATATTATATTATATTATATTATATTATATGGATGAGAGTGCCTTTTAAAATCATAGAGTCCCTTGGAAGGTAAGTGGCCAATCAAGTCAGTTAGGGTTCACTTTTTTTTTTTTTTTTGACAGGCAGAGTGGACAGTGAGAGAGAGAGACAGAGAGAAAGGTCTTCCTTTGCCGTTGGTTCACCCTCCAATGGACGCCACAGCTGGCGTGCTGCGGCCAGCGCACCACGCTGATCTGATGGCAGGAGCCAGGTGCTTCTCCTGGTCGCCCATGGGGTGCAGGGCCCAAGCACTTGGGCCATCCTCCACTGCACTCCCGGGCCACAGCAGAGAGCTGGCCTGGAAGAGGGGCAACCGGGACAGATTCTGGCGCCCCGACCGGGACTAGAACCTGGTGTGCCGGCGCCGCAAGGTGGAGGATTAGCCGAGTGAGCCGCGGCTCCGGCCAAGGGTTCACTTTCCTTTTGCTCTGCATTCTTGTTAAATAAAGGCTTAAACGCGTGTGATTTTTGAATTGCCCCTTAGGGTTGGAAAGATTGGACTTGCAGAAGGGATGGGGGACGTCCTCCATCGCACTGGCGTCCTTCGTCGCTGAGGGACAGAGACATCTTACTGGGTAACCCTGTCTGGGGAGCTCAGGGCCAGACCAGTGGTGCTGCTGGGGTTGTCCGGGAAGGTCAGAGCAGCCCCTGAGAGCCCCAGCAGAGGGGAACTGCCGACTCAGACTCGCAGGAGGAGAGTCCTACTTTCAGGTCTGAGACTGTCCGCTAGAGACTTAAACCCCAAACTTGGCCTTCTCAGGTCTCCACTGCCCCCCGCCCCGCCCCATCCGTGGAGTGACCTTTCTCTGTCCCCTTGAGCTGCTGATTCAGGGTGCGTCGCTCCATGCTGCGGCCCTCCTGCTGTGTTTGCTGTAGGAGTTCGGGCTTCTGAACGGCTGGCGGAAATAGACACGCCGCGCCTGCTGAGACATCAGCCCATGATGCGCGCTGTCGGCCAAAGGTACTGCGTGGATCCCGCGGTGGTCGCTGCCATCGTGTCCCGGGAGTCTCAGGGTGCCGGCGTTCCGGTCAACGTGGGCACCGTGGACGATGGAGTCGGAGAGGTGCAGGTAACGCTCCGCCATTAATGTGACGTGTTGGCCTTCCACTTCCCGGCACAACCTCAAGGGGACACTTCTTTTTGGTTAACTGCCAGCGCCCTTGAGCAGAGAGTAATGATACTCCATGGGGTTGTGAGAGCCACAGCCCTGAGACATGAGCAGCGGCATTCACTTCTGCTTTGTTTAGAGCCACAATTTTTTTTTAAGTTCATTTTTATTTAAAAGAGTTAGAGGCTGGCGCCATGGCTCACTTGGTTAATCCTTTGCCTACAGTGACGGCATCCCATATGGGCGCTGGGTTCTAGTCCCGGTTGCTCCTCTTCCAGTCCAGCTCTCTGCTGTGGCCCAGGAAGGCAGTGGAGGATGGCCCAAGTGCTTGGGCTCTGCACCCGCATGGGAGACCAGGAGGAAGCACCTGGCTCCTGACTTCGGATCAGCGCAGCGCCGGCCTTAGTGGCCATTTGGGGGGTGAACCAACGGAAGGAAGACCTTTCTGTCTCTGTCTCTCTCACTGTCTATATCTCTACCTGTCAAATAAAAAAAAAAAAAAAGAGTTGGGCGCGGGGGGAAGAGATGCCTTTCATCCATTGGTTCATTCTCCAAACGGCCGCATCAGCTGGGGCTGGAACAGGCCAAAACCAGAAGCCAGGAGCTTCTTCCAGGTCTCCCACATGGGTGCAGGGGCCCAAGCACTTGGACCATCTTCTGCTGCTTTCCCAGGTACATCAGCAGGGAGCTGGATGGGAAGTGGAGCAGCCGGGACTTGAACTGGCATCCATATGAGATGCCAGCACTGCAGGTGGCGGCTTAACCTGCTATACCACAATGCCAGCCCCTACAATTTCTTTTCAAAATAAATAATGCTGTGTTTCCAGGAGACCATTCTCTTCTGGGTTTCCAATAAGGCTACAGTCCAGGAAAAATATCACCAATTACATCTTTGCTCGGTCATTTGGTAGTGAGGTGACCTTGCTTAGTCACTAAACAGGACCTCCGTTCCCCCATCTGTAAAATGTCATTCTTAGAGAATTATTATGCAGATTCAGTGAAATAATGTGGAAAAGTACCTGACATTTGGTAGGATATCAACAAATATTAAATTTCTTTTTCCTTGTCTTCTTTCTACACAATTCTTAGTTCTGAGGATCAAGTTTCATTTTTCACTAATTCTGCCTCTTGGCACGTATGTGTTGGCGATTTCCAGGGAATTGGCCATTAGCCCCATTGTTGGATAACATCTGTGCTGGGCAATCAGTGATGGCAGGAATCAAATGAGGCTCGAATTTTCCTATTGCATCTTAACGCTGCTGTTGAAAAAACTGAGTACTGTGGTCATGCATACTTTTTTTTTTTTAAGATTTATTTATTTATTTGAAAGTCAGAGTTACACAGAGAGAGGAGAGGCAGAGAAGTCTTCCATTTGCTGGTTCACTCCCCAACTGGCCGCAACAGCCAGAGCTGCGCAGATCCGAAGCCAGGAGCCAGGAGCCTCCTCTGGGTCTCCCACATGGGTACAGGGGTCCAAAGACTTGGGCCATCCTCTACTGCTTTCCCAGGCCATAGCAGAGAGCTGGATCAGGGAAGTCTGGAACCAGCCCCCATATCAGATGCCTGCGCTTCAGGCCAGGGCGTTAACCCGCTGCGCCACAGTGCCGGCCCCAGCCCCTCATGCATGCTTTTAAGCTTTTAGGAAAATCGACTCTTTTTTTTTTTTTTTTTTTCAGTTGGCTTCCTGTGAGTACTTTGTATGACACCTAATTTAAAAGTACTTCCAAATACTTTTCTTTCTATTTGGAGGCCCATCCAATAATCTGATGAGATGGGGTGGGGACACGTAATCTATCTATGACATTTGAACAAGTGGAGCCACAAGGAAGGAGCTGCTACTGGAAAGCCACACCCAAAATGCAGAACCAGAACCAAGAACACCTGGCGTTGTTAGGGCTGGCATCATCCCTGCTGCCCCGTTCTGCCTCCTTTGTGAGGCACGCTTCCTGGCAAAAGGAGTCCATCTCCTATGAAGATGGAATGCAAATTCTGCACGTTCAGAAATTTCTCCTAAATATCAGGAGACCTTCGTGGAAGTGGTAACTAAAGCTGTGTAAGAAGGATCGGACAGAGGTCCTCTGATTCGCAGAAGGTGAATCACAGAAGCATCACTGCCAGCACGGAAGCCAGTCCCGACTGTCGGGTGGTTTGCGTTTGCAGCATCGAGGGGAGGCATCAGATGGGTACCCAGGCTAACCCTGTCTTTGGCTTGCAATTTGGCCTCTCGCCGTGACACTGAAGCAGCAGTGAAATGTTTATTCATCCCTTCCTTAGCCCAAACCTTGTAGCTTCACAAGTATTTAAAAAAAAAAAAAAAGCAGAGTAACAGAGAGAAAGGCGAGAGAAAAGAGAAAGAAAAAGAGGTATCTCATCCGGGGTTCACTCCCCAAATGGCCACAATGGCCAGGGCCGGTCCAGGAGCCTCGAACTCCATCTGGGTCTCCCACAGGCCACCTGGGCCTGTTCTCCGCTGCCTCGTCAGGTGTATTAGCATGGAGCAGGGTCAGCAGCCAGGACTCCAACTGGCATTCCCCTGGGAGATGCTGGTGAGAGAAGCAGTGGCTCAGCCCTCGGCACACCACCACTTTAATACTTTTTAAACTCAGAACGCTTCCAAGAGGTCTACTTTGTTATCAGATTTTAAATACTGTACAATACAGTCTTGATAATTCCAGGTATAATTTTGTTCATCAGATTTCCAGACTTTTCATTCCAAGACTGAAATTTGATACATGTTGACTGGCAACTCCCCATTCTGCCTCCCTGCAACCTTATTTATGGCTGGTGCCATGGCTCACTAGACTAATCCTCCGCCTGCGGCGCCAGTACCCCGGGTTCTAGTCCCGGTTGGGGTGCTGGATTCTGTCCTGGTTGCTCCTCTTCCAGTCCAGCTCTCTGCTGTGGCCAGGGAGTGCAGTGGAGGATGGCCCAAGTGCTTGGGCCCTGCACCCCATGGGAGACCAGGAGAAGCACCTGGCTCCTGGCTTCAGATCAGCGCGGTGCGCCAGCCGTAGTGGCCATTGGAGGGGAAACCAACGGAAAAAGGAAGACTTTTCTCTCTGTCTCTCTCACTGTCCACTCTGCCTGTCAAAAAAAAAAAAAAGATTTTATTTATTTATTTGAGAGGCAGAGTTACAGACAGAGAGAGGGAGAAACAGAAAGAAAGGTCTTCCTTCCGTTGGTTCACTCCCCAAATGGCCACAATGGCCAGAGCTGGGCTGATCCGAAGCCAGGAGCCTGGATCTTCCTCCAGGTCTCTCACGTGGGTGCAGGGGCCCAAGCACTGGGACCATCTTCCACTGTTTTCCCAGACATTAGCAAGGAGCTGCATTGGAAGTGGAGCAGCTGGGACTTGTCCCATATCGTAAGCTCTCCTTCCTTTTAAAGGCTGAATGATGTTCCATGAATTGTCTTCATCCATCACCGACACCTAGGTTGTCCCTACCTCTTGCTATTGTGAATAGCTCTGCAATGAATGTGGAAATGCGCATGATTCTTTGAGATTCAGATTTCAGTAAACACCCAGAGGGAGGCTTGCTGGATCAGATGCTCACTGGGTTTTTAATCTTTCTGAGGATTTTCCGTACCCTTCTCCACGATGGCGGTCCTATTTCATATTCCTGCCTGCAGTGCATCAGGGTTCCCGTTTCTCCACTTCCACACCGACCCTGGCTTCTTTCGTGTTTTTGATAACAGCCCTCCTGTCAGTGGTGAGGAGCTTTACCATTTTATCGCCAGGAAGGCTGAAGGTGGCACTGGTCCCACCACAGGTGGAAGGAGAAGGGCAGGCGGATCCGAGAGCGGCGCTGAGCCTGTGACAGACACATCACCTGCCCGCCAAGCCAACCCGGCTCCCCTGGCTTTTCCTCTGCCTTCCTTCTTCCAGGACCCTGCCATACATGGTCGCACACCTTGGATCAGCGAGCCCCAGGTCTCCCACATGACCGAGACTCTGACTGCTAGAATCAAAGAAATCCAGAGGAGGTTTCCCACCTGGACTCCCGACCAGTACCTGAGAGGTATGTGTCCATGGGCCAATGGTTTCACAAAACAGAATTAAAAGGGACAAATGAGTCCCCCAAGCCACGGATACATAGTTAGGGAAGAGAGTTTGGGAGAACTGAGCACCCTGGAGCAATGAGGGGCTGTGGGATCAGCACTAACCTCTTCCGTGAATTCCAGGTGGGCTGTGTGCCTATAGTGAGGGTGCTGGACGTGTCCGAAACAGCCAGGACCTGAGTTGTGATTTCTGCAATGACGTCCTTGCTCGAGCCAAGTACCTCAAGAGGCGTGGCTTCTAGCGCTTCCCTTGAATTCCAAGATCCCTGCCAACGAGGCCTCGCCCACTGTCACACAGATGAACTAGCAGGTGGGGCTCGGACCTGCCCATTCAAGTCTAACATGAATCACAATAAAGGAATAAAGGGTGATTCCTTGCATGCTGTGGCCGTGTGTTTTGTGCATGTGTGTTTCAAGGTATGTCCAAGGAGGTTAGCTGTCATGTTTCTGTCAGTGGACACTGACGAGGGTTGCCAGATTTAGCAAATAAAAATATAGGATGTTCAGTTTAAATTCCAGAAATAGAAACTTAAAATGATAGGTCTGAGAAATGAAAGACATCTGGGTTTGGATTTTTGGTCTTGCACTTTACCAGTTTTGTACCTCAAGCCAGCTTCTGGCGATGAGGTACAGTCGGCACTTCTCTTGTCTGTTCAGTGGGATAAAGTGACACACCCTGCCAGGGCTGGGGTGAGAGTCCAGCACCTGATGCTTCTCCTGTCAAGTCAGGCGCAATTTTCCAGAACTGCCCCTCTGATTTTCTTATTTTTCTCTATTTTATTTATGTATTTTTTTGACAGGCAGATTGGATAGTGAGAGAGAGACAGAGAGAAAGGTCTCCCTTTTGCCATTGGTTCACCCTCCAATGGCCGCTGTGGCTGGCGCGCTGCAGCCGGCGCACCGTGCTGATTCGATGGCAGGAGCCAGGTGCTTCTCCTGGTCTCCCATGGGGTTCAGGGCCCAAGCACTTGAGCCATCCTCCACTGTACTCCCTGGCCACAGCAGAGAGCTGGCCTGGAAGAGGGGCAACCGGGAAAGAATCCGGCACCCTGACCGGGACTAGAACCCGGTGTGCTGGCGCCGCAAGGCGGAGGATTAGCCTAGTGAGCCGCGTCACCAGCCCATCCCATGTATCTTACCTAGAAAAGGAGTCCAGTGAGTAATGAGTGGGTCTTGGCATTTTCATTTTACAGTGTCTAGCACCTCCCTGGCTGGCAGGTGCAAGGAGTCCTATAGGATTTGTTCATCATTGTATAATTAACACTCTTTTTCTGTTTTTCATAAGCCTTTTTATTTAAGGAATACAAACATCATGCTTTTCATAAATACAACTTTAGGAATATAGTGATTCTTCCCACTGTACCTGCCCTCCCACCCACACTCCCACCCCTCTTCCTCCTCCCTCTCCTATTCCTATTATTTTTTACTAAGATCTATTTTCAATTAACTTTATACACATACGATTAACTCTATGCTAAGTAAAGAGTTCAACAAGTTGTATGAAAAAAAAAAACTGTTCCTCAACAGTCGAGCAAGGTCTATTCAAAGTCATTGCATCTTGAAGTTTAATTTCACTTGTATAGATTACCTAACAGCCCCATAAGTTTTCTCTAACAACTTTGTGTTTTCATGGAATGATAGTCACCCTTAGTCACTTGCTGCCTTACTTTTCTCTGCACTCATCACTGGTGGAATTCTGTCTCTTCTCAATTGGCAGTTCTTATCAGGGAGGCCATCCATTTTTTTTTCATGAAGTCTTTCCTGGAAATTTCTGATAAACTCCTCCAATCTAAGGTCAGCCAGAGAGTTCCCCAGCATTGCTGAATCCCTTCACCAGTACTGTGTCAAATTCGATAATAATAAAAAAAAATACAGAGACAAGGTGGGCATGCAATCTAGCAGTTAAGATACTGGCCTGGACAACCGTTTTCCATATGGAAGTGCCTGGGTTCAACACGAGGTCTGGCTCCTGACTCCAGCTACTTACTAAAGTGGAGGCAGCAGTGATGGATCAAATGATTGAGTTCCTGCCACCCGCGTGGGAGACTGGAATTGAGTTCCCAGCGCCCGGCTTTGGTCATGCCAGACATTAGAGATACTTGGCAAGTGAACCAGAACTGGGAGCTCCCTTTCTTTGTCTCTCAAATACACAGATTTTTCTTAAAGTATCACTCTTTAAAATAGAGAATAGGATTGAATTCCAGGACATGCATTAAGTGACGAGGGTGGCCTCTGATATGCCCATTGAATAAAGGATATGAGGGCAGGGAAAGCTATACAAGTTATTTTCAAGGAAAGCGAATTGGTACTTTCCATGTTGGAGGGAGCTGTTAAGCTCTGACTGACCAGCAGAGGCGGTACCATGTATAAGGGTTAAGCCATTTCCCTGGATTGGTCCTAGAGCAGGCATCCAGGAGCCGGGTGTTTCCTCTTCTTTCCTGTGGCCCTCAGCTCTCTTCAGTGGAGTGCGACAAGGAATGACCCCATCCCGTACAGTGAACGTGCACAGTTGCCTTCCTGCTTCTGATGTCGCGTCTTCTGTTTTCACAGTTTTTCCTCACTCCCTCCCTTGTACATGGAGCACATCATCTAGCAGTTTTCTAAGAACTGACTGAGAAGTTTCTGAAATCTTTCAAGTCCAAGTACATTTTTTTCTGTTCTTGCATGAACTGGTGATTTGGCTTGGTACAGAATTTGAGCTTGTAGATAACTTTTCCTTCAGAATTTTGAAAGCATTGCTCCCTTTCTCTTCTGGCTTTGAGGTTTATTTACTCTTGAGAAACTGAAACTCACTTTAATTTTAATCATTAAAAAGATGTTTCCTCTCCTTGCCTGTAGAAATGTAGGCTCTTGGGACTAGTGTTGTGGCACAGTGGATTCAGTCGCTGCTTGCGATGGCAGTACCCCATATCAGAGCATCAGTTCCAGTCCTGGCTCCTCTGCTTCTGACCCGGTTTACTACTAATGCCCCTGGGAAAGTGGAGGAAGATGGCCCAAGTGTTTGAGCCCCTGCCATCATGTGGGAGACCTGGATGGAGTTCCTGGCTCCTGGCTTCTGCCTGGCTGAGACCTGGCTGTTGCGAGCATTTGAGGAGAAAACCAGTAGGGGGAAGATTTCTCTCGCTGTCTCTCCTCTCTGTCACTCTGCCTTTTAAATAACTAAATATCCTTAAAAGTAAATAAATAAATAAATAGATAAATAAATAAATAATGTAGGCTCTTCTCTTCGTCTCCTGTTTGACTTCCACGATGCTGTGCTTTGCTTTTATCCCCATCATGGGTACTCGAGTTGGTCCTTTCAATGTGTAAACATTAAAACTTTCCTTGCTGACAATTCCCCACACTCCACTTTTTTCTGTTCTCTTCATCATTTAGAGTGGACCTCTGGACTCTCCTCTAATTTACTGAATATTTTCTCTGTCTCACCTCAGTTCTTTTATTTCCTCAAATATGTGTTTCCTAACCTACCAAAATTTGAAATAAGTCTTTCTCTGTTATATTTCTATTTTCCAAGAGTTCTTTGCTGTTTTATGAATGTTCTTTTTAAAAAAGATTTATTTATTTACTTGAAAGAGTTACACACAGAGAGGAGAGGCAGAGAGAGAGAGAGGTCTTCCATCTGCTGTTTAACTCTCCAATTGGCAGCAATAGCTGGAGTTGTGCCGATCTGAAGCCAGGAGCCAGGAGCTTCTTCCAGGTCTCCCACATGGGTGCAGGGGCTCAAGGCCTTGGGCCATCTTCCACTGCTTTCCCAGGCTATAGCAGAGAGCTGGATTGGAAGAGGAGCAGCCAGGATTAGAACCGGCTCCCATTTGGGATGGCAGCACTGCAGGTGGTGGCTTTACCCATTACACCACAGCGCCGGCCCCCCAAATGTTCTTTTTAAAAAAATATTTTATTTGAGGTAGAGATATAGATAAATGATACACAGCAAGGTGGGGAGGGAGAGGGTGGGATTGAGGGAGAGAAAGAGAGAAGAAGAGCAAGAGCGAGACAGAAACATGAACACAAGTGAGCTCCTATATGAGGGCACAGGCCAAAACCAGGAGCCAGGAACTCAGTCTTGGTTTTCCAAATGGGTGGCAGGGACCCAAATACTTGAGTCATCACCTGCTTCCTCCCAGGGTGTGCATTAGTAGAAAACCTAAATCAGGAGCAGAGTTGGGACTCAAATCCAACAATATGGGATGTGGGGGTCTTTACCCTCGGCTGACCACCTACCCTCAAATGTTTCCTTTATAGCATTGTGCTTAGGCTTCAGGAATATGACATCTTCTCGGCGGTGCTTTCGAGAGTCCTCTCCATCTCCCTCAAGTCTTCCTGCATAATCTGTTCCTTCCTACGTGTGTTTCTCTGCTTCTTTTGGTTTCTTTATTTCCTGTTGGAAGCTTTCTTCAAATTTCAAGAATTGCTTGGTTGTTGGTCAGATTTAAAAATTAGGGGACTAAAGAGTTTGTCAGCTTCTTAATAAAGTCTTTGTATTCAGTGAAAAAAAAAAAGAGTCTGTCAGAAACTCTGAGCACATGGGTGAGATTTACTATTAGTTATCAGTGTCGCTGTCAGGTGACCTTGCTATGCTGTTCATCAAGAGATCCTCTCTGTCTGTATCTTCAGGTACTTTCTGGTCATATTCTAAGAGAAAACATACTTGGCCTTTTGTCTGGAAGGTAAGCACCCGGCTGCCAGTGCTGTGAATCCCAGGAGGTAGCAGGCTGAGGAATTTCACATTCAGTATGTCTTACACTTTATCTCCCCGTTTGCTGTTCAAACTCCCAAATGCTCCAGGTGTTTTCCTGCCCAGAGACCTTCTGTACTGCCCTTCCTAGAGACAAAAACTCTTCTGGGATCAGGGTAAGGAACCAGGTTTTCAGCTGCCTCTTAATCATCTTTCAGCCTTAAACATCCCGCTTCATTTCCATTTGCCCTCATTTCAACAGGAGCCCCGTGATGTCCATTTTCAAGTCTTTTGAGGATTTTGTAGCATGAATCAAGTTCTTTGCTTCCCCACTGCCAAGATTAAATCTTACTTTCTTATGTCTCTTATCCATGACCTCATGTTTACCAATTCTCTACATTTTACAATTTTGTTGCTGTATCTATTGATGATCTAGGGATTTGTCTGAAGTCTGGGTGTTTTCAACCAGAATTTATTCTCTTTTTATGTATCATATCCAAAGTGTGTCTGGAAGATTCATTTTCCTGTGGATTAATGTCTTGTGTCTTATTTTATTTTATTTTTATTTTTATTTATTTTTTGACAGGCAGAGTGGACAGTGAGAGAGACAGAGACAGAGAGAAAGGTCTTCCTTCCGTTGGTTCACCCCCCAGTGGTCACTGCGGCCAGCACACCGTGCTGATCTGAAGCCAGGAGCC